CCGACCAAGCATTGAAATGAATACAATATGGGAACCAGTAATAAGGAGTGCCAGAGAAAAGCAATAATAACAACAATAATTGCAATATGAGCTCTGGTAAAAACATGAAATGATAGCAGCAAAAATTGCAATATGAGCATTGGTAAAAAATGGAGGCTGAAAACATTAGGTTTATAATACCCAGAAATTCATACAGAGACGTCATCAAGGGCACATGACACAGTGGATAAAGTCGTTAGTTAGATCCAGTGATAGGACCCAAAGAATGTGAGTTCAATACCTGGTTAAGGCGGCAGAGAATTAGACGTGGAACAGTGAGCGAAATAAAGGGTTCAGTTCAACATTCCAAAACATTGTAATAAATATGGCGACAAAAATGAGGACAATAGTCCGAATCATGTAAATAGTGTACATAATACCTCATCTCAGAAATATAGACAGATACAGATTTAATATGTCTCTAAATTTTGCTAAAGTTTGACATTCATTACACATTTCTTTAATTATCTTGTCTATATAAGGCCCAACAGATCTTTTTTTGATAAGTTTACACGTGGTTTTAATTCTTGGGTGTGATATTACGTGAATACTATCAAAAATAGATTTTCGTAATTTCTCGGGTATATATGGTCTGGGAACACCGGTAGTTTTATCACAGTATATGGAACTGTAATTATCAGTACTAAAATTGAATTTTTTTAAGTTTGGAAATTTTTGTATTTCAGAGCCCTTAAGTTGTGCAGCAGCTATAGCTGGCAAGTTACACAGATCTTCCATAACTGCTACGGTAGGTCTCTATAAGCAATCAACTATAACATTTTGATCCCCACTTTATGTGGCTAATATCCGATATATATTCTGTGAGAATTGCTAATTGCCACTGCTGTCTCTCCGACTTAGAATGGTTTACATTACGGAATGCGCTGCACAAAGGTTTATGGTCAGTTAATAATAAAACTTGTTTTCCTTTGTTTAAAATATAACGTAGCTGAATATGCTGCACAATGTTCTTTATCAAAAGTCGAACAACTTCGTTTGAGTTAACTTTTAGAATTGGTGCTCCTTCCACTATTTGATGTGGGGATGCACTAATTCCATAATTACTGCTATCAGTAATCAACTTATATTCAGTAAAGTCATGGTTAGCTAAAGAAGGAAATTCACTGATTCTGCTTTCAATATCATTAAATGATTGCAATTCCAAGTCAGTTAATGTAAATGTAGTATTACTGTAAATACGTATTTTTTCTGTTAATGGCATGACTATGTCTGCAAAATTTGCGATTCATTTTCTATAAAAATTTACCATGTCTAAGATTCATACTGCCTTTAGAAGGGGGGATTCTGTAATGCACTAATATTATTTTGTGTAGTTCCAATACCGTCAGAGCTAATATTATAATCCCTCAAAATCGATTCAAGTCACATAAAATGCTGACTTTGCTATTGAATTTTTTAAATTAGTATCATGTAGGATTTTTAGAACAGTTTCAATGTCTTTTATGCTTCCTGAAGAATCATCGCAGAAAATAAGAATATCTTCAATGTATTTAAATACACATTCAACATGTTAAAAAATCTTGCCCATGTATCTTTGGAAAGTGGATATTGTATTCTTTAGTGGTCCAAACTTCATGTATTTGTATTTGTACAATCCGAGAGGAGAAATAAGTGCTGTTTTGGGGTTTTTTTTATATCATTGAGTGTATTTTGATTTGATAGCATGCTATGTCGATTTTCCTAAATCTTGTTTTGTTGGCTAATTTATCAACAATTGAATTAATTTTCAGGATGGAATATTTATCGATTTTTGCAATGATGTTTAAAGCACGGTAATTGCCGTACATCTGAAATTTCCATCTGGCTTTTTAACCACTTGTATGGAGTTGGCCCAGTCAGAAGGTATAATGACATCTTTGTTTTACAATTTCGAAAATTCCCTCTTTTCTGCCTGGGTTTTCTCTTCTGATAGACGTCTTAGCCTTTGCAAAAGTAGGAGCATGACTGACTGTATCATTTCTATGGTATATTCTTGCATATGTGCTTGCTGGGTTGGTATGTGGGAATGTAATGTTGGGATATATTTTTTATAAAGCCTTTAATGAAATCAAACATATTATTATTCACAACTAAGTTGATAGAGTCGATGAATGTTTTTTGTTTCTTTGAACATGATGTTGTGGGATCGATGATCGATCTCTATTAGGAATCTATTAATTAACCAAAATTGTTTAAGAATTCGAATTCTAGCAGGTGGAATTGAATGTCCGCTATTACGGACGTCCACAGAAAAAGATCGTCGAAGGGTAGATAAGTAATCTCGACTTTAATTTGCCCGTAGTAACGTATGTCTGAGCCTGTAGCCGTCGTTAGAGAAATGTTGGTTCCATTGATAACCTGTTGACGTAGCCATGTGGAATCATAGATAAGATGGTATCGGTATCTATTATGAATGAAAATTCTTTGGCCGCCAACGTTGCTGGTATCTGTAATAATGGCAGACTCTGGGGTGGGTAGGTGGTATGTCGTCGTCCACCCAATTAGTTGTTGTTTAGCGCTGGTGAAGATGGACGCGAACTTCACTGTTATATAATCTCTTTTTTTTGTTCGGCCATTTGTACCAGTATGTACATGAACGCGCTTCGTCTGCATAATAAAAATGTGCTCTGCATATTTTTTGTAACTGTCCCTTTTGGAAAGTTTTGAGACTGTAAGATATTGCTAAAGTTTCAGTAGGTACTTCTTTCATCTGAATTTAGTTACACGTATTTATTTTAACAGTGCTTTGTATTAAAGGCATTGATTCATCCGCCAATTCTCCCAGCCTGGTTGGTTTTCAATCTTTTTGTGCTGCAGGGGCAATGGAAGTTGGTAAAGCTTGTAAAAATTTGTGTAACTCAATGTCGTTGCTTATCTCCAGTCGTTTTGCAATCAACAACATTTCCTGGATGTAAATTGATGGTCGGCCTGTAATTATGAAGGTGGATATTAATTTATCCTGACTTCGTTTGTTCATGAGTTTCAATTAAAGTCTTTTTAATTCATCATAGTTGTGAGTATCCAGAATATTGCTAGGTATTTTCGCCTCTATTTCTGGAAGTAGAGACACAGTAAAATTATAAAAGTTGTTGATTTTGGAAGTTACGTTTCTTAGATAGAATTGAGATTCAATGACTGTGAACCAACTGGTAATGTTAATTCTCATGAATTCAGGTCTTACTTATTATTTGTTGGAAAGTCGGCTCGTATATATATTGCACACACACACACACACACACACACATACATACACACACACACACATACACATATATATATATATATATGTATATATATATATATATTAAAATTCACCAAATACGTGTTTACCAAATATGCTGGTTATTAAAATGTGTTTTAATGTTTTAAAATGTTTTTGTTTTTTTTTTATTTTGTATTGTTTTGTTGTTCGCCGTGGTCACCAAATATGTTGTGCGAAGATATGAAACATCGACCTTATTTAAAAGTGAATGAAACTTAAGACAACATAAATATATGAAAATTAAATTAGAAATTAATTTAGAAAGAAAAATTATTTAGTACTTTTTCAATATGCATTCAAATCTTCATTTCAGACATTTTTTTGTGTAACAAATCTTTGTTCTGATCAAATTACTGAAATATTATAATTTACTTTTATTGATACTTTCAATGTCTCCAGATGTGTGCATCGATAAGATATTTGTCTGATTTTGGTCACGTTCGTATTATCCGTAGCTTGTATAGTTTGCAAAAATAACGAAGAAACATAACTTATAAAATGATGAAAGTTCTAATTTTAGCTGAAGTTAGTAAACCAGTAGGTCATCATATAATAAGAGAAAAAATGAGTATCAGATTTGAGATGTTCGCTAGTCAAATGAAAGAAGAAGGAGAGAAAAAAATTGAAACACCGATGAATTGGAGAAAGCTTGGAGTTAGAATTTCATCAAATTATTTTCTATTGCACCATAATTTGTTTCATTCAAGAAAACGCTATTATTTTCATCATGATTTGTGTTTTGTGGTAATCAGCTTCAGGTTCTGTAGCTTTCCAATGTCAAAAGATTTTTCGCTATTTGGCTGATTTCTAAATAAGAAAATTTAGACATGATAGACAAAAATATATGTCATTTTTGGATTCAACATCTCAAAAATGTTACATTAAGCCTTTTATCTTTTCGGTAGGCTTGTGTTGTTTAAATGTTTTCTTTCATTTCATTAAATTTTGTTGTACTTTTAGACAAATATGAAAATCTTTTCATTTCCTGATTTTGTGTTTTATAATTTGTTGAGTTCAAGCTGGAATCGAAACATTGAAGAATATCACTTCTCCATTTAGGGTCACTGATGTTATTTTGATGTTGATAAAGAGTCTGGCGCCAAAAAGTAGAAATTTATATTGAAAAAACAAAAACAAAAAGTTCTATCAATAATAGAGAAAGATTTTAAATTTCTTTCTTATTTTTTTTTCTCTCGTTCTCTTTCATTTCGCTTCGTTCCTTTCGTTGCTTTACCTTTTTAAGTTTATTTTCTCCTCTTCACATTCTACTTTTCTTTATTTTTTCTTCTTTCCTTCTCCGTTTATCCCCCCCCTTTTTTTTCTTAAATATTTCTTCTTTCGCTATTACTTCATTTATTTACTTATTTAACTTGTTTCGCAATTCTTCCCCGCTGCCTTTTCTACAATTTTACCTTTTCCATCCCCTTTCTTACTTTATTCTTTACCTTCCTTTTCTTTCCTTTTCGTTCTTTTTTCCTCCTTTCCTTCTTTAACGCCATTTCATTACCCCCCCCATTCTCCGTCATTACTCATTCTTTCCCCGACGCGTATTTTATTACTTCTGTTTTACCTTTCTTTTCTTTTTTTCATACTTCCTTCTTTCTTTCCTCCCATAAAAATACGGATAAAGCTTTCTTTCCTTCTGTTTTGCTACTCACTCATTCTTACCTTCTTCCTTTCTTACTTCTTTCTTTTTTTCATGCTTATTTTCCTTCTTTTTTTTCGATTCGTAATTTTATCTCTTTTTTTATTTCCTTCCATCCTTCCACCAACCAATATCCAACCTTTCTCCTTTATTCCATCTTTCTTCATTCATTCCATACTTCTGTTCGTATTTAATCTTTTTTCTTTCCTTCATTTTTTTTATTTCTTATTATTACTCGTCTGTATTTCTTTCATTTACTTTTTCCTTCGTCTTTCTTTCCTTCTCTCCAGCCGTATTTTATTTTCTCTTTCCGCGTTCCTTACTTCTCACAGGCAATGGAACTTCTTCGAGAATCGTCCTAAAACTGGTAACTTGAACATAATTACCCCTTGGCGGTCAAGGTTAAAACGCATATCTCTACCAATTTCAATGAATACGAATAAAAATTTCATACCGGATCGGCCGCCACTGGGGACAACAAGGACCGCGTCCCTCAGAGAGGAACCAGTCTGAGGACGAAAAGTCTGTCACTTGAACAAACTCCTCCACACACGAAGAGACATTTGGTCACCAAACCCGGATTATTGCCAACCTTGGACCAAGTGACTCAATACCAAATCGACTAATAAAAAGTAAACGAACGAAATGGAGCCGCGAAGAGTATCGACAAGTTATGACATCCTTCTTCACTGCACTCGAAAACCCAGCAAAGAACACCACCAATCAAACATACCAAATATGGAGAAGTATGGTGGGAAATGATAAAAGACCTAACCTCAATCCACGGAGGGCTTTATCTATGTAATTTTTTTTTTTTTTTTTTTGTTAGTGGAAAGTGTCATGATGCCATTTCTAACCTTAGGTTCCTGGGCGAGACCCGGAAAGAAATGTGTAAACGCCAGAAATCAAAGAAAATAATAATAATAATAATAATAATAATAATAATAATAATAATTACAGGATACAAAGCAGGAAACAAATAATAATAATAATAAAATCCCAAAAATGGAAATTCCCAGGAAATGACAAGGTACCCAACTTGTCACCTGTCATAAATCCATAAGACTCTTGCACAAATTTTATCAGTGCTAATTAATAACCCCAATGAAATTACAGAATAGATCACTGAAGGTATTACATATCTCCTACTTAAAACGGATTAAACAGATGATCCCAATAATTATAGGCCAATAATATGTCTTCCCACCACATATAAATTGATCACGTCTGTTTTGATGAACTCTATTCACTCTTTTCTCGATGAAAACAACATTCTTCCTCTGAAATAAAAGAAATGTCGAAGAGATTCATATGGCTGCAAAAATCAACTACTAATAAATAAAATGATCCTGGAAAATTGCAGGAAAAAGTTAAAAATCTCACCACAGCTTGGATAGATTACCATAAAGCCTTTCATAGTGTTCCACAATCTTGGATCATTAAGTCTTTGGAAATGTACAAAGTCTCTTCGGTGATAGTAAATTTTCATTAAATATAGCATAGAACTGTGGAAACCCATATTATACTTAAATCACACGAAAGGTACTGCCACTTGCAATTGCTTGAATATCCGACGAGAAATCTTTGAAGGAGATTTCCCCGTCACTCTTATGTCCTTAATTCTCCTTTCATATGAACTAAATATTAATAACTCTGTATACAAAGTAAAAAGACGTGTTTAATCACCTATTCTAAATGGATGATCTCAAACTCTTTGCCAAAAACGACAATGAGTTGAAACGTATTCTCAATACTATAAATAGTAGACTCCCCAGGTGCTGTAAGCTTGGGCGTGCGAGTGGTGTAGTGGATAATGGAATCGGTAACTGGAGAACCAAGTTCCAGTTTACGTTGATTTCATTATATTCCTTTACGCGCAAAGTTTTACCTTGGAAAATTATGAATCCACCCTATGTCCCTTCAGCTGTGGGTTAATTAAAAAGACTTGTATCATTAAACGATCATTATTCCTCCCACGCAAAAAATTATTACAATCTCAAAATATTTTCTGGCTTTAAATAACCTGCGAATGCCTGATAAGCAGTAGAAAAATCAATCAATAAAATATTATTTAGTCAATAAATGAAATAGATTGAATATCATATGAAAAAGAGATTGACATAAAGTAATAAGACAGATAAAGATTATTATAATCGCCATTTTATATCAATAGATTTTGGCCAAAATCCTGATTTACGTCAATACCTTTATCCACTGCATTCCAGTTTTTTAAAAATAGTATTTGAATTATACATATAACAGTCCTTTTTTATCAGTAATATCTAATCATTGTCAATCTCTTTCTTCCTGATTTTCAATGCATTCTCACAGTAAAATCATTAGCAACGCATATATATATATATATATATATATATATATATATATATATATAAATGTAAATGACAATAGGAAAACTGTAGTAGTTGCCGACGCGTTTCGTCTAATGTGGACTTTCTCAAGGAAAAAACGAAATGAATTTATTTAAACAAAGTAACTAATAATAACAAAAAACAAAATGTCCTTAGCAACTGGAAGAATTTAGAGAACGCTATTTTCATACTGTTAACTGAAAATTACGTCAATTACTGTCACGTGTGGAGATATTGTTATTATTGCTGTGTTGACGGATTCAACCATTTTCTTTTGATTTTACGATATTGTTGTGTACGTTTGTTTGGGAGAGTAGTAATTCTGTTAAGAAAGGTGAAATAGGGAAAAAGCCTGGCCGTAGATTAATATTTGGGTAATATTCAGTAGAGTGAGTTATTTTCTTTTTTTATGAGTGTAGATTTTTAAAATCAAAATTATGGTTGAATTTATTTCTATGTATGACTAGTGCATTAGGTAAGTTGTTTTTTGTGAGGTCTCTTTTGTGCTCATAAATGCGTTTTTTTTTTAAATTTCTACTTGTGTCTTCAATATATTGGGAGGAACTGTTTTGGCAATTTATTTTATAAATGCCTGCTTCAGAAATATTATTGCTATTAGTGTTTGAAGATCTGAGTATATCCATAATGGTTTTGGAAGTGTTTGTGACTATTTTTTTGTTATTTAGATGGGATAGGTTATTCTGGATAATGAACGTGACAGAGTTGGTCGTTAGTATTATGTATCTGTTTTCATGTAATTTACTATTGCGGATTATGTTATTAGTTGTGGTTCGGGTGTATATTTGGTATGCCTTTCTTCTTGCGTTGTGGATGAAATGATATGGATATTGTAGGTTTTTGAATGTTTTCATATGTTAGTTTCTTCTTTAAGTAAATATTGGGGACTACAGATTTTTAATGCTCTTAGATAAAAATCTATAATAATTCCAGATTTAATTTTAGAAGAGTGGTTTGAGTAGAAACTGATCAGATCAGTTTTGTTTGGAGCCTTTCTGTAAACGTCAAAATTGAGTTCGTTATTATTTCTATGTAACAAAATGTCCAGGAACGGAAGAGTTTAGTTGGTTTCAGTTTCGAAAGTGAAGTTTATTGTAGGTTCAATGTTGTTGAGTTTAGAGAGAAGATCCGTTAAATTGGTGTTTTTTGGAATTATTAATAATGAGTCGTCTATGTATCTGTTATTATTAGTTACTTTGTTTAAATAAATTCAGTTCATTTTTTTGCTTTGAGAAAGTCCACATTGGACGAAACGCGTCGGCAAATTATAATAGTTTTCTATTGTCATTTACATTTATAAATATTGTCTTTTCTACAGGTTAATTCTGAGAAATGTTCATATATATATATATATATATATATATATATATATATATATATATATATATATATTTGTGTGTGTGTGTGTGTGTATGTGTATATATATATATATATATATATATTAGAAATGGACAAAAGTCTGACAACTATTTTAAGATATTTTGATGTTTTACTTTCTTTTTATAGACACAAATATTTACGTAAATTCTCTGTTTTATAATAAACAGTATTAATAACATTTACCGGCATGAATGTCCGAGAAATTTTCATAGAAAATACTCGTCCTCCGAAGGGAATTGAACCTGTATCCTGACGTGACTTAACCGATCGAGCCACGGAGAATCGTTCGATTAGTAAGGTCGATTTTACTGCTTTTAAACCTCAATCTTCCATGAATCTCTCACGTACATTCATATCTGCTGAAAACGTATCCAGATGTAAACAAATGACGTCACACATTATGAAATGGATAAAGTCCGACAATTATTTTTAAGACATGTTTATGTTTACATTTGGATACGCTTTGAGCAGATGTACGTGAGAGATTCATGGAAGATTGAAGTTTAAAAACAGTAAAATCGAACTTGTTAATCGAACGATCCTCCGTGGTTCGATCGGTTAAGGCAGGTCAGGCTAAATGACAGTTCCGTATAGGATACAGGTTCGATTCCTGTTGAAGGACAAATATTTTCTATGAAAATTTCTCAGCCGGTAAATGTTATTAATACTGTTTATTATAAAAACAGAGCATTTACTTAAATATTTGCATCTATAAAAAGAATGTATAAACATAAAAATGTCTTAAAATATTTGTTTGTTAATGGTATTTTTATTTAAAATATTTTACATTGCTACACAGAAATTTCTGTTTCGAGGCTTAAAGTTTTACCTCGTCAAGAACTGAGGATTTTAAATCTAACTGTTCTTTCTTCTCATATATATATATATATATATATATATATATATATATATATAGTGAGGTAGTAATTACCTACCAAGGTTTCAACTAACGGATCTTCCGGGTGAAAAACTGAACAGTTATTTACCCTGATGATCCGTTATGTGAAACCTTGGTAGGTAGGGTTAGGGTTAGGTTTTTAGTTTTTGCTCTACATAGAGTACTGAGCACTTTTAAGTTTTACTTCATTTACTATGCCGGTGTTTCTTTTTTTTTTTAATAGGCATTGCGTCGCTGATTGATTAGTTGCGACCAACATGGATGTTTTTAGTTTTTTTTCTTTTTTATTGATTTTTTTTACCATGATATCAATTTGTTGTATATATATATATATATATATATATATATATATATATATATATATATATATATATATATATATATAGGGGTGTATGTATATAATATCACTTTTTTTATCAGTAATTCCTGATCATTTTTAGTCTTTTTCACCCTGGTTTCCAATGCGTTCTTATATTAACTCATGACCCATGACAATCTCTTTATTCCTGATTTTCAATGAACTTCTATAATAATCCATTAGCAATGCATTTACATTATCTATTTAACAGATTTTTACTATCAATAATGCTTGCATTAATTCCTGACCCATGACAATCCCTTTATTTCTCATTTTCGGTACACAACAGTTTGGATGTAGAAGTTTGCTAAAAATCAATTTTCAGTCAAAAGTAACAAAATTCGATACTTAATAATCAATTTTCTGGGAATATTTTGTTCCCTTCTGCAGATAAGAGATGAGCAGCTGGAATTGCCGTCCAGTCAGTGGCCAGTTGTTATTAACAGAAACCAAAATTCTACTTACGTCGTGCGGGTTTCAAATGCAGTCGCCTTAAAATATAATACCTCTTTTTTTGAGAAAAGAAATTCTCCCTGTCGCCAGAATATAGTGTATCATTATATAGAAATAACAAAATTAGTGTGAATATAAAGTTTAGCCATATTGAGTTTTTTAAAAAGTCCTACTTATGATATCACGGTTTAAATAGCAATTATTAAAAATATTTTTATATATTTTCGGAACCCATAGCAAACATTTCCACCAAGGATAACAAATTACATCCTGATCTTGAGTTTCTTTTAGTCAGTTTGGAATTTTCCTAATCGAAATTCTTTATTTATGTTTTATAAGAAATACCTAACTGAAAAGTGTTGACAACTCAAGTAAAAAGAAAAGGCTTCAGAAATTTTATGATATATTTATCAGCCAGTTTAAATTAGAGTTATCTCCCTTATAATATGATCTATTAGAAGTTATTTTAAACTTTTAAAAAATTATCTTTTTAATACAAAGATGTCTTATGTGATTTTCAAAATCCGCTATCACAAGACTGGCTTTTAAAATGATGTTTCACGTTTTCACTTACATACAAAACTTTTTTTTCAGCAAAACAATCTGCAAATTATAGCTTAAGAGTTAAATTTGGAAAGAAAGAATTAAGATTTGTGAAAACACTCACAAAATAAAATAAAAACAATGAACTACAGAATCTTTTTTGAACATCACATGTAATATTTAAACTGAATTTCTAAATTTAATCTGGCTTCATGACTGGGGCAAACAGAAATGTCATAACTGACTACTACACAGTAGAAACGGTACTGTATACAGTATACACACTAGTAACTGACTTCTAGATTAGTACGCTAACACTTAAATATTTAGTTGGTTTAGCTTAATTTTAGCACAAGCCCACAAGCTAGTGAAGATCGAACTCGTAAACGAACAATAAAACCAGATTGTTAACATGAACTTTCTGATAATTTTCTTTCAACGATTAAAATTTATAAAATCAAATCTGTGGAGAAGTCTCTTGTAGTAGTACAAATATACAAATATATATATTTTTTTAGATACACTTGAATGGTCAGTGTTCAAGCATAAATAAAACCCAGGATTTCAAATAGTGATTTTAAAGCAGGCGAACCCTTTTTACTTTGAAGATTGAGACAATTTTAGTCGCCCATTATTCTAATTTCGCCAAAGTAAGCTAGGAAAAAATATTTATATTTATGTGACGTGAACGTGCCTGATAGTAATTATCTATTTTTTTTCATATTTTCAAAAGTTAATGAAACCTTTCAGAATAAAAAAAAATGAAGGAAATTTAGTCCGTTTCACACCTATATGGATAAATATTTAATTTCTACAAAATTACAAGCGTTCCTTTTTTTAATTTGTTCAGTTATTTATGCGTTATTTGCATCTATGAACAAAATATTAATATAACTACATTGTTATAAGCGGCCTTACAAATTTTGTTTAGTTCTTTATACGTGTTATTTGCATTTATGGATAAATGTTTAATTTCTACAGTTATAAGCGGCCGTTCGAATTTTATTCATTTCTTTATATGTATTATTTGCATTAATGGGTAAATATTTAATTTCTACAAATTACAAGCGGCTTTTCAAATTTTATCCATTTCTTTTTACGTATCATTTACATTTATGGATAAATGTTTAATTTCTACAGTTATAAGCGGCCTTTCTATTTTTTCGCTTCTTTTATCCAGCGGTGCGTATTTCCCGCCTCAAGACTTGTTTGTTTCTATTTATCTCTCTCTCTTTTATTTTGTTTCTATTTCTTTTGAAAGTTTATTGCTTGCTATTATTTCTTAAAACACATACGCACTTCAGATTTACGATTCACAAAAAACGGAAAATAAAACAAAGCAAAAACTTAAAGAAAAACGTCAACTACCCCGCAAGCTCTGCATCTTTGTGTTGTAAGAAGAAAAACAGTCAACCGACCTGAACCTTTTTTTACCTCTTTCCTCCTGCATAAGTGTTACGTAAAGACCGTGTCCATCCTTGAATTTAGCAATAGAAGCTTTCTTTTTTCTTCTTTTTAACATTGATGCCGACGGCTGACTCGACAAACGACTGTTAAGTCCAGTCAAGAGGAAAATAGTCGTCTATCATTTGACACTGGACGTACGGACAGACAGACAGACAAACGAGAAAATCAAAATAATTATAAAAAAAAGAAAACGTAATGTTTGTTACGGCTTTATGACTTTGGTTCATTAAAATTCCACCCATGTCGTTTGCTAATTGTCCTCGGGATGTGTTTGTTGTAAAAAAAAGTTGGCAAACTGGACGTTGTTACCATTCTTGCAATAAATGTTTGTCTGTATGCTTTATTTTCGATTCAACTATTTCGTATCCTCGGTCTCGCCCACCCAAACTTTCTTTTTCGGTTCCTATCTTTTATTTTAACATGCTTTTAAACCCTAACCCCCATCAAAGAACTTTTCGCCTGTAATCTCTAATCCTACTCTCTCCCCTTTAACTTTCACTCTCTTCACTATTTATTTTCTCTCTTTCTCGCGCATGTTTCTTTAACTTTATCTACCCCCTCCTCTCTAATTCTTTTATTTCGCCCCACACTATCTATCTATCTAATTCTGTTCAGTATCTATCTGTCTATGTCTGTTCTATCTATCTAATTCTTTTCATTATCTATCTATTCATCTCTCAAATTCTGTTCATTATCTACCTATCTATATAATGTTGTTTATTAATGCTAAAAAAGATAGAATTTTTTTAAAAAATGGATGGGCGTGGAGATTTGAAAATGAAACTTAGGAGAGAAAAAAAGAACAAAAGTAGGTTTAAAATAAATAAATGAAATTTCAACCCAGACACAAAATTAAGTGTAGTAAAGGAAAAAAAAAAACTAAATTTAATAAACAAATAAAATAAACAAAAATTAATAATGAAAGGAAAATTTTAAAATTATAGACAAATTGTAATTGCGTCTCCCAGTAAGAAATTATAAGTGTTTGAAAGTTTTTAACAAGCAGAACGCTAAATGAAGACAAACTCGACACACACCATGGCTCTGTAGTTACCTGAGTCGACAATAGTGATAATAATAATAATAAAGTCAGGCTTTGTTTGTTGTTAGAGACGAATTCTCGTCACTCTTTCTTTGATCATGTAATTAACCAAATAAATTGCGGAAGTATGCGCATAGTGTGAAATGAATGTTTCTTTTTGTTGTTGTTGTCCTTGTTGTCGCAGTGGGAAATTGTGATTGTAGCATTGTAATACAGTTGCCCTAGCGAGCTAGCTACGTCCGTTGCCGAAGCTATGGGAGATTTCACAAAAGCTTAAAAACTAAATATCCAAATTTGTTTGAATTTTTCTTCCCATACAAAAAAATTAAAAAGAAACAAAGATTTTTTTTGTCCATAATAAAAATAAACAAAAATTAAATAAAAAAACGATTGCTCTGATTGGTCCCTTAGGTATCAGTCACGTGCCAAGTTCCTGAAATTTACGTCTGCGTCTTCAGTTTCGTTTGAAGAGGAGACTGTCGATCACGTGTCATGTTTGAATCTAAAACAAACCTCCCTCTCTTTTTCTCTCTTTTTCTCTCTTTTTCTAACATTTTTCTTCTTTTTCTCTTTATCTGTCTCTGCCTTCCTTTTTTTTTTCCAACTTCATTTTCTCTTCTTCTTTATCTCCCGACAAGTTATTCAACACATTGACAGAAATGTCGCGTGTTCTCGATATCATTTTAATTGCACCTCCAGAAAAAAAAAGAAGAAAAAAATGAGGTGCAAAATTATTGTTGAAAAGAAAACAATAAAAGTTTATCGAAATAACCTGAAATTTGTGCAAACAAAAATATCATTCAGCAAAAAAGTCCCGACAGACATCGGTTTGGCTAATATAACGAAATCACTGACAGACACCACACCTTTAAGATGGATTTGTCCCAAAAAGTAAAATTCTTCTTTTCCGACCGACCGTGTTTGTTCATTTCCTGCAGGTGCAAAGTTCCCATTTCTTAGAAAACTCGAAATTTAGATTCTTCTTCGATTGTCGGCACCTTTAATTCATTCTTTCTTTCTTTTTTCCTGTTTCTCTCCATTTTTAGGTACATGCACTGATTTCTAAAAAAAATAGCGTACATTGATTGATGAAAAAAATGTCCCAAACTTAATAAAAACAAAGTTTTATCGCCAGAATCTTTATGTTCTTATTAAGAGGAAAGTCCAAAGGATTTTTTAAGTAAATTATATTTTTTGGTCCTTTTTAGAGGTTTCGAAATTTTGGTTAAAAAATCTTTTTTTTTTTTTTTTTTTGCGTCAGAGCAGTGGCCAAAAGATTAGTATAGTAAAATTTAGCGTCTTTTTTTTTCGACATAGAAAAAAACACTGATCTGGGAATTCCGACAAAAAAAAAAAAAAAAATTTTTTTAATGAAACTTCAGGATTTATTCACAAATGATTGAAATTATTTTAGAAATGTTTGTTTTTAGAAAATCTAGATAAAATATTTTATACATCTGTTACCCCACACATATTTAATTTAATGAAATTTCAAGAAATTAAATTTTGTATAGCTTGATTTTTATATTAGTTAAAAGCTGAATTTCTTGGAGAATTTAAATCCTAATATATATATATATATATATATATATATATATATATATATATATATAAAAACAATACTGAAAATCTGCTCTGAATCGTAAATAAAAAATGCAATAAAATTAAGATATTATTTAATTAGAAACACTTTTAATTGCTTTTAGGAATAAAATATATGATGGACATTAATGTCTTAAGAATTTTTTTCGACGAATAATGAATTTTTACAAGAATTGATTTCATTTTTTAAAAATTTTAATTATAATAAATCTTTTAAAGTTCTGTCTTACTTTGTATAGATTAGGTTATATTATTATTAAGTAAAAACTATATTTATTAATCATAAATGGCAAATCTTCATCCAAATCAGTATTTTAAAAAGATTTTTGAAATTCTCTGCGTATAAACGTGCCGATTTTTGCAAATAGGAATTCCCATACACGACATTATCAGCAAAAAAGAACCATAGCTACAGTAAATTTAAAGGCAAAGTACCTAAAATTCAATAAAACGTTAGATTACGGAGAATATTTTCCTAAATCTTTAAAATTACTGAGTAGCTAAAAATTATATAAAAATGTGCTCACGTTATATTCTTCAAATAAATTTTACAGCTATATCCACCGTAGAAAAAATTAGATAAACTTCTGTCTGCCATTCAAGCTGTCAACACCTAAAATAAACAACTACCGGCGAGTTAAAAATGCATTTCTGTGATATTTTAAACTTAAAGTACTATTTGTTTCAAATAAGATTTAATTAAATCCGCTAATATTCCTCAAATAAAGTTTCAGAAAAGTATATCTTATTTTTTAAGGAATTTTTAATAAAGACAATTACATTGCGATGACAGATGGATAAAAATGGCACTAAAATAATTTATTTCAAAGCAAAAACGCCTTCCAGTAAATTTATATTAGTTTTGAAATATAGCAAAGTATTTTGCTGGTTGGAAATATTAAATTTAATCTTATAGTTTGAAATTAAAATTAAAATAAAGCTTCAATAAAGTGTTTTGGTTCTTGTGACAGGTGAAGAATGCTTATTTCCACATATTATTTAAAGGAATTCAATTTTTTTCCTTCTGATTGTTAAATCTTTTAACCATTGTCTTTTGTGCTTAGTAGTAGTCATGTGAATCCATCTTAGACTGGCCGAAAAATGTTCCTTTGCTTAAAGGATAATAAAACAATTAATTTTGGTCAGAGAAAGGAACAGAGATGAGGATGTTTTTTTTCTTATCTTTTTATGTCCCCCGTGTATCTTTTCATTACTTCCTCTATTCTTGCATATTGTGTGTGTGTGTGTGTGTGTTTGTCAGTATGTCTATATATATTCTTTCTCCATACATATATATATTGTATTATTACCAGGAAACCTATATATATATATATATATATATATATATATATATATATTAGTTATATTTATATATATATATATATTAGTTATTTTACTCGTGTCGGAGTTTTTTTCTTTGGACTAGACGATTATTTTCACCGGAAGTACATATTCTTAGTTCTTTCTTTTTTCTTTTTTTTTACCCTTTTTTTACCTTGGGTATTTGTTTGTTCATTTACAATATAAAACACCTAAGGTTTTTTAAGATTACTAGTATTATATATATATATATATATATATATCTTGAATAAGTTCTCGCTGAATTTTCATGAAAAGTAATGTTTTATTAACAAAAAATAGTAAAAAAAATGTCACTGAAATCATTGTACATCGCTAGCCACTACTTTCCCCATTTTTCTGACAGTATTTGAATTCCACGTCGGAAAACGTCACGTCTTTTGAGACTAATCACGAGTCAACCCATTTTTTGGCATCTTCATAAGTATGAAAGTGCTACTATAAGTGATAATCGGACGGGGCAATGTCTGGTAATTACGGCGGGTCGGGTAAGATTTCCCATTTAAGCGTTTCCAAGTAGCTTTGCACCAATTTTGCAACATGTGGTCTACCGTTGTCATGTTGCAAAATCATTTTGTCGTGTCTCTTCTCGAATGGCGGCCGTTTTTTCTTCAATGCTCGACTCAAACGCATCAATTGTAGTCGAACATAGCTTTGAACCATGGATATTCGGCTTTGCCTCCGATGTTAATGCATGGCCGGTCTTAACCCCACGATCTTCTACGCTTAGGCTTATCGTAGTGTATCCACTTTTCATCGCCGGTCATGATACGGTGTAAAAAAACCTTTCCTTTTCTGCCGTTGAAGCAGCTGTTCACACGTGAAAAGACGTCATTCAACGTCTCTCGGTTTCAACTCGTACGGCACCTAATGTTCTTGCTTTTGAATCATTCCTAATGCTTTCAAACGTTTCGAAACTGTTGGGTGATCAACCCCTAATGATTCTGCAAGTCCAGCTTGCGCTTGATATCAGTCTTCATGAAGTAATGCCTCCAATTTTTTGTCTTCAATCAAACATTTTCGGTGCTCCAGAGAGTTCTTTACCTTCAACATCAAAATCATTATTTTTGAAGCGTCTAAACCAATCTCTGCATGTTGTTTCCGACAGAGCATAGTTGCTGTAACTCTCAAGAAGAATTATGTGTGCTTCAGCTGTAGATTTCTTTCAATAAAGTAGTACAATAAAATCCCCCGCAAATACACTTTCTTTGGCCCGAAATCCGACATGTTTAACGCTATGAAAAACAAAGTTTTTTACACTTCGTCGAAATGACATACACTGAATTTCAAGCTTTCTTATAGTACTTCTTTATAGATGCGTTACCATGTGAAACAAAACGCACGCAGTTCTGGGAACGCCATCTGTTGGAAAACAGCGAGAACTTATTCAATGTCCTAACATATATATATATATATATATATATATATATATATGTACACACACTTTGTATGTTATGTACAGTTCATGTGTGTGTATATGTTTTGCCAGTATGTGCGTATATATTCGTTCCCCATACACATATTTTATATACTATATAAGGAAATCTAAATAGTAAATACATGCATTTCGTATAGTGTGTTTGTGTGTGTGTATGCGTGAGCGCGTGCGTGCGTGCGTGTGCGGTATGACTAGTATGTTTTGTCCATATGTGTATATAGTGTGTGTTTATGTCTGGAGGTTATGATTTGTTTAGTCCTGTTTTAAATTTGTTACTCTTGTTGTATTTGTGGATGTGTTGTGACAAAAAGAGTTTTCTGTTGTCTGGTAATTTAATGTTGCTGTTGTGTAAGGAGACCCTGTTGTTTAGTGTTTGAGTGATACCTATATAAGATTTGTTGCATTTTGTGTACCTGAGTGCATAAATTACATTTTTGGTGTTACAAATTAAATTTTTCTTTATTGTGAATGTTGTTGTGAGGTTTTCAAAAGTGTAAGAGTTTCCTTCTATAATTATAGCACAAACCCCACATCTTTACTTGTTGCATTTTGTAACCCCTTATATTGTGTGTTGACTTAGGGCACCTCGAGTTGGTGTAATGGTTAGCAAGCTTGTATCGCTAGAACAATTACAACTGAGTAGTGAGTTCGATTCTCACTGGGTGCCCCATACTTTCGGCCTTGTGCCACATCTGAACTACGCTTGGAAAATCAGTATTGTGTGTTGACTAAACTGGGATTTTAGTTGTTTTAGTATATCTTTCATTTTATCATCCTTGTTAAGAAGGTCTAGGTTATTTATTATTATTTCTGTAAATACTTCTGGATTGTCCTTGTTGCATGTTGAAACGTATGCTAGAATTTGTTCACTGTTGTGTTTCTTTGGGTTTCATAATTAGTCTAACAGTATTTTTCTGCTAATTCATACCCCTTCTTAGTAGTGTGGGGTAGCCTCGTTTTTTTTAGAAAAATCTGAAAAGGAAAGATTAAGTTAATTCTTTTTTTAACATGAAGGAAGCAAGTGGCATTATTGTGTCTAAAATGTTCCCAGTAAGCTCAAGGGGGGGCAGGAAGTAAGTGACAATGATTCAAGCTTATTCATGACTTATTTTTATAAATATTTGTTAATGATTTAAGCTATCTATCTATATATATATATATAACTAAAAAAAAAACTACTACTAAGACATAACACTATATTAATTGAACTATATGCTTAGTTCATGACATATTAACTGAAAACACTTGTAAAATA